ACCAAGAGCGAACCTGAGCAGATTACTTAGCCTCGCCCCTGGCAAGGACAGGGCAGTGAAATTCTGCCTTGGGCAAAGACATTTGATACTCACTGCAACAGGCCCCTCCCCTAGAAGATCAGCAAGAACATCCAGCCAAGACCAGGGGGTGGAAAACAATTTACTATGCTAATGGACATCAAAAGAAAGCTGGGGTGGCAATCCTTATAGCAGATAAATTAGATTTTAAGCCAAAGAATATAATAAAGAGGAGAAAGAACACTATATCATACTTAAAGGGTCTGTCCAGCAAGAAGATATAACAATTTTAAATATCTATGCCCCTAACATGGGAGCAGCCAACTATATAAACCAATTAATAATGAAATCAAAGAAACACATCGATAATAATACAATAATAGTAGGGGACTTTAATCCCCCCCCCCTCACTGAAATGGACAGATCATCCAAGCAAAAGATCAACAAGGAAATAAAGGCCTTAAATGACACACTGGACCAGATGGACATCACAGATATATTCAGAACATTCCATCCCAAAGGAACAGAACACACATTCTTCTCTAGTGCACATGGGACATTCTCCAGAATAGATCACATGCTGGGTCACAAATCAGGTCTCAACCAGTACCAAAAGATTGGGATCATTCCCTGCATATTTTCAGACCACAGTGCTCTGAAGCTAGAACTCAGTCACAAGAGGAAAGGTGGAAAGAACTCAAATACATGAAGGCTAAAGAGCATCCTACTAAAGAATGAATGGGTCAACCAGGAAATTAAAGAAGAATAGAAAAAATTCATAGAAACATATGAAAATAAAAAAACAACTGTTCAAAATCTGTGGGACACAGCAAAGGTGGGCCTGAGAGGAAAGTATATAGCGATACAAGCCTTTCTCAAGAAACAAGAAAGGTCTCAAGTACACAACCTAACCCTACACCTAAAGGAGCTAGAGAAAGAACAGCAAAGAAAGCCTAAACCCAGCAGGAGAAGAGAAATAATAAAGATTAGAGCAGAAATGATACAGAAACCAAAAGAACAGTAGAACAGGTCAATGAAACTAGGAGCTGTTTTACTGAAAGAATTGATAAAATTGATAAACCCCTGGCCAGACATATCAAAAAGAAAAGAGAAAGGACCCAAATAAATAAAATCATGAATGAAAGAGGAGAGATCACAACCAACACCAAAGAAATACAAACAATTATAAGAACATATTATGAGCAGCTCTATGCCAGCAAATTTGACAATCTGGAAGAAATGGATGTTCCTAGAGACATATAAACTACCGAAACTGAACCAGGAAGAAATAGAAAACCTGAACAGACCCATAACCAGTAAGGAGATTGAAGCAGTCATCAAAAATCTCCTAAGAAACGAGCCCAAGGCCAGACAGCTCCTGAAGGGAATTCTACCAAACCTTTAAAGAAGAATTAATACCTATTCCCCTGAAACTGTTCCAAGAAATAGAAATGGAGGGAAAAATTCCAAACTCATTTTATGCCAGCATTACCTTGATCCCCAAATCAAAGACCCCATCAAAAAGGAGAATTACAGACCAATATCCTTGATGAACATAGATGCCAAAATTCTCACCAAAATACTAGCCAGTAGGATCCAACAGTACATTAAAAGGATTATTCATCACAACCAAGTGGGATTTATTCCTGGGCTGCAAGTTTGGTTCAACATCCACAAATCAATCAGTGTGATACAATACATTAATAAAAGAAAGAACAAGAACCATATGATACTCATTGTAGTTGCTGAAAAAGCATTTGACAAAGTACAGCATCCTTTCCTGATCAAAACTCTTCAAAGTGTAGGGATAGAGGTACATACCTCAATATCCTCAAAGCCATGTATGAAACACCCACAGCGAATATCATTCTCAATGGAGAAAAACTGAGAGCTTTTCTGCTAAGATTGGGAACATGGCAGGGATGTCCACTATCACCACTGCTATTCAACATAGTACTAGAAGTCCTAGCCTCAGCAATCAGACAACAAAAAGAAATAAAAGGCATCCGAATCAGCAAAGAAGAAGTCAAACTCTCACTCTTTGCAGATGATATGATACCTTATGTAGAAAACCCAAAAGACTCCACTCTAAAACTGCTAGAACTCATATAGGAATTCAGTAAAGTGTCAGGATATAAAATCAATGCACAGAAATTGGTTGCATTTCTATATACCAACAGCAAGACAGAAGACAGAGAAATTAAGGAGTCAATCCCATTTGCAATTGCACCCCAAACCATAAGATACCTAGGAATAAACCTAACCGAAGAGGCAAAGAATCTGTACTCAGAAAACTACAAAGTACTCATGAAAGAAATTGAGGAAGATGCAAAGAAATGGAAAAACATTCCATGCTCATGGATTGGGAAAATAAATATTGTGAAAATGTCTAAGCTACCTATAGCAATCTTCACATTTAATGCAATCCCTATCAAAATACCATCAATTTTTTTCAAAGAAATGGAACAAATAATCCTAAAAGTTATGTGGAACCAGAAAAGACCCCAAATAGCGAGGAATGTTGAAAAAGAAAGCCAAAGTTTGTGGAATCACAATTCTAGACTTCAAGCTCTATTACAAAGCTGTCATCATCGGGACAGTATGGTACTGGCACAAAAACAGACACATAGATCAGTGGAACAGAATAGAGAGCCCAGAAATAGACCCTCAACTGTACGGTTAACTAATCTTTGACAAAGTAGGAAAGAATGTCCAATGGAAAAAAGACAATCTTTTCAACAAATGGTGTTGGAAAAATTGGACAGCCACATGCAGAAAAATAAAACTGGACCATTTCCTTATACCACACACAAAAATAGACTCAAAATTGATGAAAAATCTCAATGTGAGACAGGAATCCATCAAAATCCTTGAGGAGAACGCAGGCAGCAACCTCTTCAACCTCAGCCACAGCAACTTCTTCCTAGAAACATTGCTAGAGGCAAGGGAAGCAAGGGCAAAAATGAACTATTGGGACTTCATCAAGATCAAAAGCTTTTGCACAGCAAAGGAAACAGTCAACAAAACCAAAAAACAGCTGACAGAATGGGAGAGATATTTGCAAATGGCGTATCAGATAAAGGGCTAGTATCCAAAATCTATAAAGAACTTAGAAACTCACACCCAAAGAACAAAGAATCTAATCAAGAAGTGGGCAGAGGACATGAACAGACATTTCTGCAAAGAAGACATCCAGATGGCCAACAGACACATGAAAAAGTGCTCCACATCACTTGGCATCAGGGAAGTACAAATCAATACCACAATGAGATACCACCTCACACTAGTCAGAATGGCTACAATTAACCAGTCAGGAAACAACAGAAGTTGGTGAGGATGCAGAGAAAGGGGAACCCTCCTACACTGTTAGTGGGAATGCAAGCTGGTGAGCCACTCTGGCAAACAGCATGGAGGTTCCTCAAAAAGTGGAAAATAGAGCTACCCTATGACCCAGCAATCGCACTACTGGGTATTTACCATAAAGATACAAATGTAGTGATCCGAAGGGGCACATGCACCTGAATGTTTGCGGTAGCAACGTCCACAATAGCCAAACTATGGAAAGAACCTCGATATCCATCAACAGATGAATGGATAAAGAAGAAGTGGTATGTATGTATGTATGTATGTATGTGTGTGTGTGTATATATATATATATATATATATATATATATATATGAATACTATGCAGCCATCAAAAGAAATGAAATTTTGCTATTTGGAAGGACATGGTTGGAACTAGTGGATATTATGCTTAGCGAAATAAGTCAATCAGAGAAAGACAATTATCACTTGAAGTCCCTGATATGAGGAACTTGAGAGGCAGGGTTTGGGGTTTGGAGGGTAGGGAAGGAAAAAAATGAAACAAGTTTGGATCAGGAGGGAAACAAACCATAAGAGATTCTTAATCTCACAAAACAAACTGAGGGTTGCTGTGGGAAGGGAGTGTATAGAGAGGGTGGTTGGGTTGTGGACATTGGGGATGGTATGTGACATGGTGAGTGCTATGAATTGTGTAAGCCTGACAATTCACAGACCTATACCCCTGGGTCAAATAATACATTATATGTTAATAAAAATAATAAAGTTTCAGCCCCTCAAATAAATAAATGAGTTCTTTTCAGCCACAGCGTATTTTGAACACCAAGTATTTCTCATCCTGTTTTGTGGATGTAGATTTAAGTATTTGAGGATAGAGCTACTAATATACTATGGTATTCTATGCTTTTATAACTGTTCTGTCTTTTTATTTGGAAATAATTATGTGGTTGAAATAAAGGCAAGTCACTATGATTGCAAGGCATCTTGCAAATATTCCGATTAAAATGAGGTGACGAGGACAGGAGGTGAAGAATCATGGGCCAGAATGAAACCAACTAGATGTTGTCTCTGCACACAGAGCCAGTGATTTCAGCCTTCTCTAATAAATTATGTTTGGGTAGAATTGGAAATATTGGTGGAAAAAGTTTAGTGCTTTAACATGTTGAAGGACCTTCATATATGGTATCACATTTAAATTTTATAACAGCCACATAAGAAAGTCAGAGTAAGAGTGTATATTCCCATTTTATAAAGAAAAATGTGTAGTGAGAGTGGCTGTGTTATGATGTCCTGACCTGTTGACATTTTCCCATGGAGTTTTCCTATTCATCAGTAATATGTATCACTGGGGTGCCAGGGTGGCACAGTCGGTTAAGCATCTGACTTCGGCTCAGGTCGTCATCCCTGGTTCCTGGGATCGAGCTCTGCATCGGGCTCCGTGCTTAGCAGGGAGTCTGCTTCTCCCTCTCCATCTGTCCCTGCCATTCCCCCACCTCTGCTTGCGCTCTCTGTCGCTCTTTCTCTCAAATAAATAAGATCTTTAAAAAAAAAAAAAATGCATCTGTCATGCTATTGGATATTTTATGGCACCTGTTCACATGTTTATGTACAGTGGGTGTACCTTCATTTATGATTTCCTGTGGTGTTTGCTTTTTTCCCAGGCGAAGGGTGGAGGTTATGAGAGTGAAGATGCCTATCAAAATGCAGAACTAGTTTTTCTGGATATCCACAATATTCATGTTATGAGAGAATCTTTACGAAAACTTAAGGAGATTGTGTACCCTAACATTGAGGAGACTCACTGGCTGTCTAACTTGGAATCTACTCACTGGCTTGAACATATTAAGGTTCGGTATTTGTTATTATTCCCTTATATTATTACAGAGTATCAGACAAGGGGTTTCTCTGCCCCTCTATTTCCACACTATTCTTACAATTGAACTGTAAGATGAAGGTATCTTTCTATACGATGAAAAATGGATAACTGCTTTGAAAATTGTAAGTACTTCTAAGGTGTGTTGCTTGAATGAATTAGTTTACTGTACTGCGTATTTGGTTCTCTTGTGGTCTTCTCTCCGCCTCCCTGCCCCACCCTGTCTGGATTCTTCTCATCCTTCAGACCCCAGTTCTGACTTCTCTTCCATTTTCTCTGCACTTTCACTTTGCTTTCTCTTTCCAGCTCATCGAGTACGACCTTACACTTCATTTAATTGTCTTGTGTCAGTATATATTCCTAATTCATGGAAAGCTGGGCTGGATAATTTGTTAATGTTTTTGGACCCCTCAGGAGCTAGGGCAGCACCATGTGTGTGAGGGAGGCGAAGCGGTTGAATGAGGGTATGAGGCTAAATGATGTGGAGTCTACCCCGTGAACGCTAGTGTGCCCAGCCTGTCACTGCCACGATTGGAGCAGCAGATGTGATTGCACTTTGTACAGTTACATACTTTTCTCAGACGTGGTCTGAATCTCAGTAACACAGCGTCCCAAGATGGAGACGCTAGCCATACACACGTTCATACTGTGAAATAAAGAGTAAGGAGCAGACACGTGTTCACATTAGAATCTCTCAAATTTGGACAGAACTGAAGAGAAGGCCAATTTGATCTAACTGAGAATTAGAGATTAATTTTATTCTTTCCCTTCCAGACACTTGGAAGCTTGAATGTAGCAGAGTGCACACTCTCCTCAGGCAGGGAGCATGTTCCCGAGGGCCCATCTGTTGCAGCACGTGAAGTGTAAATAGAAAACAGGGACACTTGATTTGAAGGGAACATAAATTGCAGTGTTGGCATCTGTAAATGGCAAGGCTTTCCCCCTGCACATATAACAGCCTCTCCAGAAAGCTCGCTCTGACAACAAACAGGTCCCTTTAGAGGCAGAGGAGATCCGGCTGTGCCTGGCCTGCCTTCTGCACTCGTAGTCCTCACAGCAGCAAAGCATACCTCCTCACCTTCTTCAGAGCTCTGCTCAAATACCACCTTCTCAGAAAGGCCTTTCCCCACCACACCTTACAAATAACAGCTCCACTGGCAGGCTGCTCTCACTTCCTGCCCTCTGGCACAGTCTGTATTTTCTTATTTACATGCATCTGGCTGGCCTCACCTGAGTAGAATGTACTACCCCTTTTTCTGTTTGATTCACTGCTCTGTCTCTAGCACCTGGAGCAGAACCTGCCACATGGAAAGGGGCTCCAAAATGTTTATAAGGGAAGGAAGGTGGGATGGTGACCATGGTCTTAACTTTCCAGCTGTTCTAATACTTTGGGTCAGTGATTCCTAAGTCTCAAAACCCACTGAATTACAAGTGGAAGACATTTATAAAGTAGTAAGCTAGGACTAGTGAAGATGGGGCCCAGACACTTAAAAAATTGCTCACAGGTGACTCTGATGCATAGTCAAGATTGACATTGCTTCAGAGTACCCCATTTCCAGAATATGCCTATAGTTACAATTAAAAGGAGGTCATCATGAGATTGTCCAACCCTAGTAAATCTACTTTCTTTCATTCTGATCCACGTTTGTGAACCCACACTGTTCTCTGAGTATGAATCGTCTGGCCACTGCAGAGAAGAGGACTGTATTATTCATTTTAAATAATATTGTGCTTTTGTGCTGCTTATTTGGCTGTATCTAATTCTGTCTAGTTTTAACTCAAGTTCAGCATCAGAAAAGTTAATTATTTTGCAGTGACTGCATATTTTTAAAAAAAATCTGAAATTATTTTAAATACCAGTAAAGTTGACATAGTAATATATTGATCTGCTGAGAATTTTTCATTCATATTAATACAGAAAAGTAGCTTGAAGTTTTATACTGGACTTGCTGTAAGCTATGTGACATATATAAAAATAGTAAAATAAATGCTCTAGAAGCTATAGGGTAAGAGATCCAATTTTAGTGCTTTCCTCTTTATTCTGTTTTGGTTAGGTAGGGATTGTGTAAGTAACGTGTATGACTTCATTTGGCATTTTTTTTATTTAAATAGATGATGTTGGAATATTTGAAGATTCTTAGAAACAGATCTCTTTAAAACCGAATCCTTTTCTCTCACTCATACTTTTGATTTGTACAGAACCAAAACATACCCTTCATTTGGCTCTTTCATTGTGCGGATTAATAGGAGCCTGCATTTATGAGGTTCTTCTTGTGATAAAGGCAAAATCTTCTGCCACTTACAAGAATTCTGTTTAGGAAGGGGCTTTTTTCTCCATGTGTTATTGAGACAGTTGTCCGTAATAAAACTGTATTTGTTACTTTTGAAGAAGAAAGCACTTAATTTTTTAAAAAATTTCACTGAGAACTCTATCTTGCAGCTCATTCTCGCGGGGGCTCTTCGGATCGCTGACAAAGTCGAGTCCGGGAAGACGTCTGTGGTGGTGCACTGCAGCGACGGCTGGGACCGCACGGCCCAGCTGACTTCCCTGGCCATGCTCATGCTGGATGGCTACTATCGAAGCATCCGAGGCTTTGAGGTCCTTGTGGAGAAAGAGTGGCTGAGCTTTGGACATCGATTTCAGCTTGTGAGTATAGAGCCTGGACTCGCGGCATCACATGCATCCTACATGAGGCGTGTGAAAACAAAGCCTTTTATTCAGTAGACACTCATTGCAAACCACTCCTTCATACTAAAGGGGTAAACTTCTAGAGAGAATGTTCTTGTTAGTTGTGGAAAGCGTTAGGATAGCCTCTTGTGGGTGTGCAGTCTGTCCAGGGCTGTCGGGACACGTGTCTGGCTTGGTCTCTTCTGTGATCCCTGCTAGGGGAGACATCAAATACCATTCCTTCATCTGTGTGCGCATCTCTGCCTTCAAATGCAGATTAGCAGGCATGGTTGCAGAATTACAGGCCACTTCTGATCTCGATGCAAAAGGAGCCAAGGATGGCTTAATTATTATTAGTTTAAGAATACTTCCAAGTAGCAGTGCTCACACAGGAACGGGGTTTAAAAAAAAATCAGGCTGGGACCAAAATAAATATCAGAGAAAAAACGAAAAATTTCCCTCAGAGTGGGAAATAAAACAGCTTTTTGATTATTCTCCTAAAGCACTAACATTGTAATGAGTATACATATGGAGAGTGCTGCAGTTGGTTTTATGGGAATGACACATTTTTCTGCCCTCTCTTTGCCTCAGAATTTATCTTGATGTTGTCGTTCATCTCAAATCTGAGTTAACAGGACCTCAGTGTCCAGGCATTCAGTGTTGAATGTCTTCTGTGGTATCCCCATGAAATGATTGTATAGTTTCTGCATTAACACCTCCAGAAATTAGCAGCCAGGCTCTTCCTCAGGCTATCCAGTCTCACTTCAGAAAATCTACCTACTAGAAAGTTCTTTTTCATAGTGAACCAAAATTTACTTCCCATTTCCCCTTTGAAGACAAGAACAGATATGACTACTTAACCAAATGAGATAGCCCTTCAAATATTTTGAAGTCGGTATACCCATGTCATGCGTAACTTCAGTTCTTCTGGCTAAACATTAATTTTCTTCATTGTTTTCCTATCTCAATCCCCTCTTCACCCCAGTTGTCCTCTGGACTTTGGTCATGTCTTTCATCAAGTGTGGTACCCAGAACTAATCACGGTTCCTAAAATAGAGGAATGGGTTTATTATGTCCCTTTCAAAGGGTATTCAGCTTTCAGTTTTGCTTTTTTGCTACATCATACTTTGGAGTCATGCACCTCTTAATGAAATAAACATTCATGTGGTTTTTAGCTGTGTTTCTGCTAAAAACTAAATTTGCAATCAGAAAACTTGAGAACAGTAAGCGTGTAGGCCTTGTTTTTCATGTATTATTCATCTGTGTTAGTTGTAATCACAGATTTTAAAGAGTGAGGAGTAGGAATATTTTCCCCAAAAGGAGGAACAGGGTGCGCAAAAGTCTAGATGACATTGAGCTTGGCAAGAGTAGAGTTGAGGGAAGGGTGGGGTTAGAGAATCATGGAGGGGGAGAGTTAGATTGTCAGAGGCGTTGGAGCCACTGAGAGTGTGTGTGGCTCCTGGCAGCACATTCCTCGAGTAGCTGAAAGACTTTCTGAAAGATGTTTACCCAGATGCTGTCTCAAACGTTAACCTGTACCAGCGGTGTTCACAAATACAGATGACCCTTGCACAACTCACAGTGTGGGGGAGAGGGGTGCAGTCAAAACTCCACATGTAACTGTTGACTCCTCCCCTGAACCTAACTCCCTGTAGCCTGTGGTTGATGGAAGCCTTCCCAATAAGATAAACGATTAACACCTATTTTGTATGTTGTATGTATGATATGCTGTATTCTTATAATAAAGGAAGCTGACAAAAGGAAATGTTACTAAGAAAATCATAAGGAAGAGAAAACACTTTTACAGTTCTGTAAAAAAAAAATCTACATTTAAGTGAACTTGCTCGGCCCATTCGTGCTGTTCAGGAGTTCAAGAGTTAACTTGAAAGAAGCAGACAAATTTAAAGGTAGTCTGCTTTTTTGAACTTGAACTGTTAAATAAAACTGGGCTTTTGGAGGATCTTTTCTGATGGCTCACATTTTTCAGTTCTCTCTAAAATATACTTACGATGAAAAAACACATTACAAAACCCCTCTTACTTCAAAGAATGAAGTTTTAGTCATCCAGAGCTGCACGTGTTTATGTCAGTGTGATCAAAATAGTAAACATTTAAGACCATTGGAAATTGCTGTGGATTCCTAGATTGCTAACTCTGGTTCCCTACTCCGTCCCCCCTCCACCTATCCCCAGTTTATCTGAAAGCAGAATTTGACAATTAAAGGACATCTGGTCAAGAGGGTCCATTCACCTGGTTAATGAAGAGCAGTGAGTGTCAAACTTTTCATTGTCAGGATCTCTTTCCATTCTTAACAATTATTGGTGACCCCAAAGAACTTTGTTTATATGGTTTATATCTACCAATATTTGTCATATTAGAAATTAAATTTTTTTTAAAGATTTATTTATTTATTTATTTGACAGAGATCACAAGTAGGCGGAGAGGCAGGCAGAGAGAGAGAGAGAGTGGGGAGCAGGCTCCCCGCTGAGCAGAGAGCCCGATTCGGGACTCGATCCCAGGACACTGGGATCACGACCTGAGCCGAAGGCAGAGGCTTAACTCACTGAGCCACCCAGGCACCCCTAGAAATTAAATTTTTAAAAATGTATAAATATTAATGAAATAATAAATCTGTCTTAGTCTGGGTTGCTGTTAACGTCATACCACAAACTGGGTGACTTGTAAAATTTCAATAGAAATTTATTTCTCACGGTTTTGAAGGCTGGAAATCCAAGGTCAGGGTGTCAGCATAGTCATGTTCTGTGGAAGGCTATAGATTGTGGGTTGTAGCTTGTCAACCTCTCTCTGTCCTCATGTGGTGAAGAGAACCAACGAGCTCTGTGGGGTCTTTATTTTTATTTTTTTAAAGATTTTATTCATCTGTTTGACAGACAGAGATCACAAGTAGGCAGAGAGGCAGACAGAGAGAGAGGAGGAAGCAGGCAGGCTCTCTGCTGAACAGAGAGCCGGATGCGGAACTTGATTTCAGGACCCCGAGACCATGACCTGAGCCGAAGGCAGAAGCTTAACCTACTGAGCCACCCAGGCTCCCTCTGTAGGGTCTTTTGATGAGAGCACTAAACACCTTTGCTGGGCTTCTACCCTCATGACTAGCAGCTCCTAGACGATGACTCCTGCCATTACATCTGACATTCGGATTTCAATGTGAATTTTTTTGGGTGGGGGGACACAAACATTCAGGACATAGTTATACTGTATATTAGCCTAAAGAGCATTTTAAAGAAAACGAGTTGTATTTTCCAAAACAGCAACAATAAAAAGGTTAGTGTGAAGGGTGGCATTGTTTTACATTTTTTGCAAATTCCTTTCACGTCTGGTTTATTAGAAGACAGCCGAATTTCACAACTACTTTATTGCAATGTGTGCTGTTGCTTGACGTAAATGAGGAAAATCTGACCACACACAGATATGCAGGTTGAAATCAGAGTGTGTCTTGATAGCGTTTTCAGGGAATTGTGGATATTCTTTCATACTGTGCCTAAATATAACAAATGCTGATTTCAGCGAGGTTACTTGTAATGTGGAATCCAAAACTAGATCAATGAGGTTTTCATTGTCCTTTCTATTAAATTCCATTGGTCTGTCTTGAGCTTTGAATAGCGCTTTTAAAAACCATGCGTGATTCTGTAACATCAGGTGTTGGTTATTTGGAAAATACTGGCTTACTGACTTACACAGCTCTTCAAGTATTAATGCATTTCCTTATAGACTATCATCTCATTTGTGAGCATCACCAGTGATTTTTATCAGAAATGTCTATTACCAAGCTTATTTTGACAGGTAGTTTCCCAAAAATCTAATGTGCACTCAAAGCTTGAAAGCTTGAATTTTATCAGTTTTCCTTGAAATGACACATTTGCTTTGTACATTTTAAAAAAAAAAAAGTCTGCAAGACTTTCAAGTCTTAATAACCATAGTTTATATATATCAGTTGTTCTTTCAAGTCAAAACGTTCCATGAAAACGTGGTGTTTTGTACCATCAGCTAAGGTTTGCAGCTGCAGAACATTATGTGTATTTCCCATTTTGTTACACAGGCTGTCCTTAAGGGGAGAGACTTAGCAGGATTAATTTTTACTGCTTCATCAAGGAAACTGGCTCTCCCCATCCTTTCATTTGACTGCGAGTGTGTGGCAAGGCAGGGTCTGACACTGCTTGTGTAGCTGGATTCGAATGCCGTGCTTGATTTCTCCTAAGGAACCCAGAGTTTTATCCTTCGTCACTTTTGCACTCTCAGCATAAATGTTAGTGCATTGAAAAAGGCAAATAACATTTTAGTATAATTATGAAAATAGTTTTGACATCACAGACCCCTCTCCCTCCCCCACCCTTACCCCCGGCCCCCACCCCCCGGCCCTTGGTAATCTGTGGACCAGACTTTTTTAGAATCACTGTTTTGGAGAGTGGAGGGTCCGTTACAGTCATCTGGGGCAAAGGTCCTTAGAAGAGAAAAAAACTGAGAAAGGAGGTGAGTACATGCTTGGAAGGCAGATGTCAAGCATTCTTTAAAGGTTTCCAAGGGTCTGTGCTGATGTGATTCTTCTTGATAAAGACAGATGAGGTAAGATATGACAGGGCCCCCCTGCACATCCAGGCCACATTGTTAAAGGAGACGGGTGCTTCCTGAGGCTGTTGGACAAGTATCTGTTAATACTTAGGGAATATTAAATCTCTGGGACAAAGAATCTGGGGTTCTGAGGTTTGACTGCTCCTGTCTTCCATTATCAACCTCTTAAGATCTGGGTTCCTCTTGTTAAAGTTGTAATTTCCTATTACAAGCATCTCATGTCAGTAAATAATATGGCAATTTGTACATCAAAATGATAACAGAGACTTCTGCTTGGTAAGACTATGAGTGATTTCTCTTTTCCTTGCTGTGCTCTTTTATTTAATTAATTTCTTAAAGATTTTGTTTATTTTTGAGAGAGAAAGAATGAGTGGGTGAGAGAGTGGGGTAGAGAGAGAAGCAAGCTCCCCACTGAGCATGGACCCTGATGCGAGCCTTGAGCCCAGGACCCTGGGATCACGACCTGAGCTGAAGGCAGAGGCTTTAACCCACTGAGCACCCAGGTGCCCCCTGTGCTCTTTTAAAAAGACTTTTGAACTTTAAAAAATACTGGAAGATATTACTTTAATTGGAAAATAAATTTATTTCCATGAAAAAGAAAAATTCCACAAGGCTCATACAGATTTTCACTCTTTTTGCTCCAGAGACTTGGCCATGGAGATAAAAACCATGCAGATGCAGACAGATCGCCTGTTTTCCTTCAGTTTATTGACTGTGTCTGGCAAATGACAAGACAGGTAATTTATCTGGGATAGTCATTCTTACATCTTTCTTTTAAGCCATCCAGAGTTGGGAGGTGTGGTCAGTGATTATCGTACATTGCATGTAAAATGGAAATTCTTGGAAGATTTCTTGGTAATAGAACTATTACTTGTTACATTATGAACTAAGTTAAAGGACATTATTTGGAGATATTAAACACTTGACAATTTGATCCATTAGCATTTCAACCAGTGGCATTAATAATAACCTGAGAGGTTTCCTCCTTCGTTTTGGACAAGTAGTTAACTGTAATATATTTACCCGGAAGGTCATCTATACGTTGCTAGAGAAGGTAGAGGTGAAGAAATGAAGCAACAGGCTAGTTCACTGGAGCAAAATAAAATCCCATTTTAAGGAATTGAAAAATACGTTTACGTGGGAATTATGAGTAGGTAGATATGTAAAAGATTCAGTTCTTTTTGTTCTTAGGCATAGAGAGATTGTTTTTTAGACCTTCTATTAACTTTCTAACAAACTGGTTTGAAATATTAATGGTAATGGATTTAGTCTTTTGGAAAGATCTCGGGGGAGATTGAAAAACACCTGCTTTGCTATGGGATCACTTCACTAGTGAGGCGAGGGGTTGGTGTCTTAAACATATTGAACTCAAGGAAAATCATCCCAGAGCTTGGCTACAGGTCACTGCTTTTTCAGCTAATTATTTGCCCAAGGGTTTATTATACCTCAGACAACTGGGAGTCTGGTTTGTTCTTAGTGAGACCGCCACATGAATATAAAATAGAGCAGTTGCTGTCTCTGCTTCGCTTTAGGATTACATTTTAGTTTCAAGAAAACACTATTATTTCATTAAAAGAAAACGAATGGTGATCTTTAGATGAAATATACCAATTATATAAGCATTTCCCTCAATGGCATACTGGGTTAGGTGGATTATTTTGAAAGCTGCTGGGTTAAATGCAGTGTTCTAGTAGACATGATGATGGAATGCTGAGGCTGGAATTTAAAATATAACCTGCTAATGTGTATGACACTTAGAGTTTTGTTCTATAAAAGGCTCTTGGTGTGTTGGGAGAAGGAGAAACTTAACTGTAGAGTTTAATGGTGTTTACTACTTCTTGGACGAGGTTTGAATTTTTCCTTTGGAATTGCCCTTGAGTTTGTATGGCAGCTCTGCAAATCCTTGCCAGTCCTCTTTTTTGGGTGTTTGACCAAAAACAAGAAGAGCCACTATTGACCATTACCATATTTGATTTTTAAATAACATTTGACTCTTGGTGAAAATTAAATATGCCCTTTGAAAAGGCTCAAAAAGCGGTTTGAAACCATGACAGCATTGATGGCTGAGCACTGCTCTCCCAGGGGAATTACCCTAAAGGGGCAGCATGTGCGAATATATGAGTTCTGGTATGTTTGTTAGAAACAAACTCCCATTTGCCAGCTGTTTGCATAGAAGAGTACGCGATAAGTACCTGCCTTGCTAACTTACTACACGCTGTAGACCTAAAAGCAGCTTCACTCCAATTCTGAGCTTAAGTTACTGCATAGAAAATCAGTTTCATCTTACATTTCTCTGATGGAACTGAAAATACGTCATATAGTGATGTGTCTTTATCTTAGACATCCAGTTCTGTTTTCCTTTATGATATTCTGGAACATAGAATCTGTTAGGCATGTTTATGGGCCATCACTGGTTTTGTAAATAATTGAACTTTTGTGCAGAGACTTAAGTAAGCACCCTTGTGAAAGTGACATCGGTTATGTGGCGATTAGCCAGATTCTACCTGTCCCCCCACCCTTGGCCCCAGCCCCTCACTCCTGGGTCAGGAAGCAGTTGGTGAAGGGCCCTTCTAATTCTAAAGCCATTAGGAGGAGAAAATATTCCTCCTCTGCTCTCGGAAGTTCCTGCTCCGCTGCCTCCGTTTTGGGGTAGGGACCTGCCTCCCATTGCATCTCTCTTCTCTTCTCATGACTGAGCACGTGCTTTTGTTGAAAAGATGAAAAACTGATCATAGGCTTAGCTCCTTCGGATGGCTGTGCAATGAGTCAGAATGCATTCACAGTTGGCTAATAAGGCTGTTAAGGGTATGTAACAGTACAGGGGATGGGATTTATTCTGTAAATGAGTGACTGTGATTTGACCAGGTTTCTTACAGGTAATTGGCTTTTTGTTGACATGTGCTCCGATCACCTGGTTCAGCTTCACAGCCACAGAAATGATCATTCAGGGCAGGCTAGTTAGCCTTCCTCGTTCGAGAAATTTGCTGTTACCTGCTTCTAAATTTAGTTAATGTGGAGACAAAGGTGGTTTCATTCCTATCCTTTGTGCATGCAGTTCAGGCTGTTTTCTTGCACTACTAGGTAGGGATCATTCTAAGAAAGACTTGGAACCAATATTTATTCCCCAAATCTGTAGTCCGGATATTCGTAGACTTTCTTTTTCACAGTCCTGCAATTGGTACAATTTTCTTGGAGACTGTTAAAAAATTTTGAAGTATTAGCTGGAGAAGGGTGGATTATATGAACTCTTTCCCCTCCTGGGATCTGCCCTCCATCCTTGATAAGTTCACCGCCACCCCAGATTTGTTGTTTAGGTAATATTAAGATACCTGGTCAAGCTCTTGTCTTAGGTTAAAGAGGAAGTGCATTTTCTTTTTGTTAGAAAGAGGCAGCTGAACTGCTGATCTCAGATTTGACTAGGCTGGCTTTTAAATGATCTGCACATCTGCCTTGGATCTTTATTTTTGTGCATTGCTGACATTATCTGGAGACAGTGATATTTTTTTGTGTAATCCCTGAAACCAAAACTATGTTGCTGAAAATTTAAAGAAAATCTTACTATGTTGTTTATGGTCATTTTTGGCAAAGAAAGGCCAAGAGTTGTCAGAATTGCCAAAGTCAAAATTCATCCCTTTTCAAGGTTAGGATTAACAGATAACAGGGAGATATGGAAACACCAAGGTCACACCATTCAAACTCTTGCTGCACAAGAAAAGGATTTCTCATGGGGAGAAATCTCAGAAAATTGGTAGAGTGATTTTTGAACAGAGAACGAAGCAGAACGAAGCAGATAATGCCATAATGGCTTAGAAATACATAGTTTTGAACATTGTTTAACCTAATTTTAAGAAGTATTACAAAGAACCTCCCCATAGGGATGAATATGCTTGAAAAAATGTCCTAATAATTTTGTGTTTGTGGTATTCAATTTGCAGTTTCCTACAGCATTTGAATTCAATGAATATTTTCTCATTACCATTTTGGACCATCTATATAGCTGTTTATTTGGAACATTCCTCTGTAACAGTGAACTTCAGAGAGGAAAAGAGGTAAAATATGAGCCATGACCCTACCCCCTTCTACTCCCAACATACGTGATGTTCCCTGCGACAGTGCATTCTCTGATAGATTTCAACCTAACAGTCCTCTTGGGTGATTTCTTTGGTCATGTTTTATTGCTATGTATACGACGTATACTATGGCTTCTTTCCATATATCTGAGCCTGATTGGTTTTCAAGTACCTCTGTTGCGAGGCTGAAGGTACCAGCTAGCTGTCAGGTGCAGGTGCATTTACAGCTGAAAAGTAATGTCTGCTAAAGAGAACTGAGTCTGTGTACTCTCAGGAACACCAGTCCTTGTGGGATGGAAATCCTTCAGAGCACGTGCAGAAACATCTAATTAGCAAGAAAAATACACATACGAATGAAGAGATCCCCAGATACATGGTGCATACGTATGAGCTATTTTAGGTTTTTTTTTTTTTTTTAAATTGCAAAATACCATAAAACAACCAAACACTGAAGAGATACTGTGTAGAAAGAAATAGCCCCCTGTGTAATTCCACGATTATGACACTAATCTTCTCTGCTTCCCCAAAGAGATCACTGGTAAGTGGTTGGCATTTAGAAGAAACCGTATAAGGATGACATTTCAAGTTTTACTTCTGACCTTGAAATACATGTCTCCTATGTATGAAATTCCAAATCCTCTTGATTGGGTGTCTCCCTCTGCATCAGTTTTCATTCCAAAAATGTGGTTGCCAACCAGTTTATTCATGCTCTTCTATAAAGCATCATGGCAGGGAGTGCTTGCTCTGTGGCCAGGCTGCCTGGGATGAAATCTTGGATCTATCCCTTGTCTTGTAACCTTGGGCAAATTCATTTCTGCTTTGGTAAATGGGGAAAAATAGTACTATTGTGTGGTTCAATAAAATAAACTACAGAACACCATAGTAACTGCCATGTAGCAGACTGTACATTCTTTGAAGCAGGTATTAAAAATGTTTTTCTTAAAGATTATTTTTTGAGAGGAAGCACATGAGAGGTAGGGAGCAGCAGAAAGGAGAGGAGAAAGCAGGCTCCCCGCTGAGCATGGAGCCCCACCACATGGGACCTCATCCCAGGATCCCGAGATCATGACCTGAGTTGAAGGCAGACGCTAAACCGACTGAGCCACGCAGGTGCCCCAGGAAATTTTGAAAAAACCGTCTCTTCAGTGGCCGGCCTGCAGTCAGCATTCCCATACAGAGGAGGTGCTTTAAGAACTTACCGGATGTTAGATAACTAAAACCACCTAAGTTCCAAAGATACTTTTTTCCTCATCTTTTGAGAGGCTTGAATAAGATTTAACTATATCTTGATTTTAAGAAAATAATCTTTTTTTTGCTGAGCTGTAATTTGCAGTCCATAAAATTGTATAATTTAGTAGTTTTCAGTTATCTAGAGTTGTACAACTGTCACCACTGCTGACTTTAAACATTGAGAAGTAACCGTGTCCCTGTTTGCAGTTTCTCCCTGGTCTCCTCCCCTGGTCCCTTGGCCATCGCTACTCTCTGGATTTGCCCCTTCTGGATACGTCCTATAAATGGAATCATTCAAGATGAGACCTTTGTGTCTGGCTTCTTTCACTTAGTGTGTTTCCAAGGCTCAATTTGTAGTATGCATCACTACTTTATTCCTTTTCATGGTGAAATATTATTCCATTATATAAATAGACTACATTTTATCCATTTTATCAGTTGATGGACTTTTGGGTTGTTTCTTCCTTTTGCTCTTATGAGTAATGCCCATTTGAACATCTGTGTACAGGTTTTTGTGTGCATATGTTTCTGTTCTCTTGGTATATATACCTGAGTGGAATTGCTAGTATGAGAACTTGTTTAAATTTTTAATGAATTAATTGCAGTGTTTTCTAGTACTCTGATTTGAATGAAAGTAGGGCTGTCACTGAAGTGTCCATGTCCTCTCCCTCCTAAGAGATATTCAATAATCGAAAATGCCTGTTTCCTTCTTACAGAATCTGCCTAAGAGGACTGTGTCACTGTGGTCTTACATAAATAGCCAGCTGGAAGACTTCACTAATCCTCTCTACGGGAGCTACTCCAATCATGTCCTTTACCCGGTAGCCAGCATGCGCCACCTAGAGCTCTGGGTGGGCTATTACGTCAGGTGGAATCCCCGGATGAAACCGCAGGTATGAGTGCTCTCCAGCAGACAGTGTGAGGTTTCATCCAGGCAGTTCTATCATTTAGGTTCATCACCTTTAAAGCAACTAGAAAAATTAGGTATATTTAAAACTTTTCCTTTTTTCCTGTTAACATTTATAATTGTATAGTAGAAAAAGCACTACATGGGGGTCATCAATGAACTGCATTCGTGCCTTGTCTTTGCTTGTATGGTCCTGGATGAAGCACTTTTCTTCCCTTCTTGGAAAATGAGTGTGGGGGATTGGATGGCTTCTACAGGTCATTTTAATAGGTTTGAGGAAATAGCTTTAAGAAAATTAAAAGCCTGACCAATTCTGGTCCATTCTGAAATATGTTATAGAATATATACTACTTAGAACTGTTTAAAAGACTAAAAATCTGCAGCTAAGTGACAGGAAATCTGTGAGTTTTGGCTTTTACTTATTGTCTTGTTACTTGGTTGTTTTTAAAGTAACAGCTGCAGCGTATATCTGTGGAAGTACTTGGGGGCCCTGGGAAAGTCACTGGAAGGGCGGTGCTGTCAGTAGAGTCCAGTTAATTCTCACCGATGTGCTGGAAAGGTTGGCCTGGTCCCCAGAGCCAGGAAAATGCCCATGACAGCACTTAGGGAAAGAACTATATACCAGCACGATTGGACTTTGGGTTTGTTTACGCCTGCCTCATTGAATGACATTATGGTATTTTGCTCTTGTAGGAGCCCATTCACAACAGATATAAAGAACTTCTTGCTAAACGAGCAGAGCTTCAGAAAAAAGTAGAGGAACTACAGAGAGAGATTTCCAACCGATCAACCTCATCCTCCGAGAGGGCCAGTTCTCCTGCACAGTGTGTCACTCCTGTCCAAACTGTTGTGTGAGGGGACTGTCCGAGGGGGGCCGGCATGGCCATGAACTCCGCATTACAGTGGCAGCTTTAGGAGTATACGGTCTTCTGAAGTTAGAACCCAACCCTGGGAGAAGTGCAGTTGCTTTATTTATTTTAAATCTCTCCAGGAGGGGTTTAGAACTGGGGCAGTGCAGGCGGCGTGCGTGAGATACCCCCTATGGAATTCCACCACAATGACAGTAATCTTCCGAGTCACCCAAAGAATAGTTAGATGCTTCATTACCAGATCCACGGTGGGAGCAAGTTTCTGATTTTAAAATCAAAATACAGACACTTCGGAAACACGCCTCCTGCTGGAAGAGAACTGGCTGCACAGAGGGAAGGAGCATCCCAGTTAATCTCAGCGCACCGACGCTGCAGTTCCCTGCCATGACACATGTTGAGCCTCAACGGCACGAAAGCTCAGAATCCCATGATGCTCCTTTCCCCCGTCGCGGGTTTTTCTTTTCTGTCGTAGTGATTTACTTTCATCACCTTTCTGCACCCACACTCTTCATATATGATACGGCAAAGATCTGAGGATATTATGGCATAGTAGTAGTTGAAAATTATTGCTGTCGTTACTGGCGTGTGTATTTAAGATGTAGTAGATAGCTGTCCGAATGGATGCCTTAGAGGTGTGCTGGGGGGCGGGCGCGGGATTGAGAGACGGAAGCAGTAGCCGCCCAGGACTTCAAAGAATTCCACACCCTTCAGATTAGTTTCCATTTGCCCAGTTACTAGAAACATAATGAGACATATTTACAAATTCATTATTCCCTTCCTTTACTGCATTTATGTTTTTGTGTGTGTGTGTCTGAACACAGAAGTGAATTGGCTGAGTTTTGAGGCAATATTTTAAAAGTTTACTAGGATTGACTTTTTTCCTGAAGTCTGTTTAAATAGCTTATGGGTGGGAAATATGCTCAAATTTTACACGAGGTATTTTACTACTTTACTTTGCAAATTCTGTAATTCCACTGAAAGATTAAGTCTACCAAAGAATTTACTGCATGTACAAATATGTTACAATCTCAACGCCAGTAAAGGAGATACTGCTTCACTGTTCACCTGCCAGTAACAGTTCAGCACTGGTGTAAACATTTGACTCCCGGATACCTTAAGAGCCATATGTTATGTACTGTAACAAAGGAGCTTCTTGTCCCTTGGTTCTTTAATTAAAAGGAAATTTCAACTGACTTTTAAAACGTTGTCCTTATCCTAAGTTGTTTGCCTTAAATGCCTTTCTTAAATGTGTTTTTGAAGAAGGGTGGCTTAGCACCTGCTCCAGATTAAAGTGTTCAGTTTCAGCCCATTTTGCTTCTAATACCCAAATCAAGCAGTACTAAACAATGCAGTGTTCTTTCACTTGTGTCCTCAGCCTTGTTGTTGGGTTTGGTGGTGAGGAACTGTAATTTCTCCTACTACCTCCAATATTAGCAAAATTAGTACCAGGATGATTTGGTCTTTGTATGATACACATTTAAAAAAAAAAAAGTCGTCAGGGTATTTTTGAGCGGCCAGCCCATCAACTGAAGCTAAGTTTTCTCTTCCAGATATTTTACAAACCCATTGATGTCCATTCTATGATTTTCCTCATTTAAGCCTTGATCATTTTGGGCTGATACCACATAAAAATACTGATTACTGAAGAGATCAAGAGTTTCAGACTTTGTTTCAGTACCCTACACATCCACTTTAAATTCCATTCAAAGGCCAGAGCAATGGAAATGCAGATCTATCACTTACCATTTTAAGACTTTTCCAGAGGTTTCCTTTTCACCTTAGCAGGCATCTTTAAAGTGGAGTGCATTTAAGAGAATCCCCTGGGGGCAACATGAGGATCTTGATGGCCTTGTGAGACGTTCCTCTTTCCTCCCCCTCGACTTACAACCAGCTGGACATCCATGACTGAACAGAAGTGCCTCTGCACATCAAGTCCAAGGAAGTTATGGAGCCAGGGGAGTTACAGTGGCAGTGACCATGGTGACCTCCTTAGTGGAGGTGGTAGAATGAGAACGGGGTACTCAGAAGTGCTCAGCGGCAATGGGCTGCAGTTGGTTCTATTGCTTTTCAGGAACACCTAGATTTCTGAGGAGAGACTTCCATGACTGGGTAGAGGGAAAGAAAAAACAAGTCAAAGAGAGCTGAAGGGACATGCTTCCTGCCATAAGCTCTGGGATTCCAGCAAGAGGTCCATCCATGTGCCTTTGGGAATCCCCCACTCAAGGATTGCCCTACCAGGCCATGGGCACACCTAAAGCCCCAAGTGCTAAGCACACACCTCCCCCAACTCTGCATCCAGTCTTTAAAACACAAAACCAAAGATTTTATTTGAGAGAGCTGATGGATGTGCATGAATGGGGGGGAGGGGCAGAGGGAGAGGGAATTTCAAGGACTCTGCACTGTCTGCCCCCCAACAGAGCTGAGGTGGGGCTGGATCTCAAGACCCTGAGATCATCACCTGAGCTGAAACCAGAAGACACCCAACCCACTAAGCTACACAGTTACCCCCAGTGTGTTTTTCTTTTTACCACCTTTTATATGCACATATCAAACTTTAGCAGGGAGTCACCTCCAGTAAGAAAACCCAAAAGCTTATGCTCTAGCACCACCTTCTGGGAAACAAAAGAAAGGCTTCTAACTGCCAACCTGATGAATTATTAAAATCAAACAAAGCCTTATGTAAATAAGAAAGGTGTTTGCTACTTTAAATGTGGCGGCAGAGGCCCATTTCATTGAATACCATAAAAAATCATGGTAATACAGGATCACAAAAAGGTAATGACAATTCTCCAGTAACTGTACCCAAAGATGTGGAATACTGCAATCTAACTTAGAATTCAAAGTAACAGGACAAAATTCAACAAGCTCCAAGAAAACTCAGAAAGGCAATTCAATGAATTTAGGAATAAAATTAATGAACATTAAGAAGTACTTTGCCAAAGAAATTGAAGTTCTAAAAAAATTAAAATGAAAATCTGAAGCTGAGTATTAGAAAGCATTGGGAATGGAGCAGATCAGATGGAAGAGAGAATAAGCAAGCTGGAAGATAAGGGTTTAGAAATGATTCAAGAAGAGGAGAGAGAACTAAGATACTTAGAAAGTGGATACAACCTATAACAATTATCAGACTCCAACAGAAAAGCTAACATAATATTAATGGGTGTATCAGAAAGAGAAGGAGGCAGAGTGTTTATAGAAAGAAAAAATGGTTGAGAACTTCCTAACCTGGGGGAAGGAACTGGATATACAAGAATACAAAGCTAATACACCTTCTCCAAGACACACTAATGAAACTGTCAAAAGCCAGGGGGAAAAACCTGTAAGGGATCACCCCCCCCTCCTTAGGCTATCAGATTCCTCAGCACAATTTCTACAGGCCAGGAGAGAATGGGATGACCTATTCAAAGAACTGAAAGATAAAAACTGCCAGGCAAAAATACTCTAAGTGGCAAAGTTATCCTTGATATGAAAGAGAAATAAAGGATTTCCCAAACCAATAAAATGTGAGAGTTTACCACCCCTAACACTGCCTTAGAAGAAATGCTGGAAGTAAATCTTCCAGGTGAAAAGATCTCAATACACAACATTTTTATTAAAGTGATCGACAGAAAACTATAACTCTTGAGAATATAAAATAATTGCAGCATAAAGGTTAAAGAGCATTAAAAATGATAGCTATTAAATCGTAACAATTCACAGCACAACGAGATCCTTTGTGACATCTAAAGTATAAAAGAATGAAATTAAGTAAATGAAAAGAAGCTTTTATCAGCAAAAAATAACTTATTTTCCTCTATGAGATGTTTTATTTATTAAACCTTCTGGTAACCATAAAGCAAAAATCTAGAGCAAAGACCCACAACAAAAAAAGAAGACTGAGCAAATCACCAAGGCCAAACACCAGCATACAAAGGTAGACAGAAACAGAAGGAAAAAGAAACAACGGAGAGATCGGTAACTAGAAGGCAAAAGATAAAATGGCTGTAGTAACTCCTCACATACCAATAATGACCCTACATGTAAAATGGACTGGGTTTACCAAAAGGCACACTAGTGGCTGGATGGGTAAAAACAAACAAGAAACAAACAAAAAAACACCCAAGGCCCATCTATATGCTCTCTACAGAATTTTCATTTCAGCTCTAAAGACATAAACAGGCTCAAGGTGAAAGGATGGAAAATGACATTCAAAGCTAGTGGAAACCAAAACAAGGTAGGCATTGCCTACTTACACAACACAGGCTTCAGGCCAAAAATCGTAAAACTGGCAAAGATCATATAATGATAAAAAGGTCCATACATCACTAAATATAACAGTTGTAAATATGTATGCTAACACCTGAGCACCAAAAATACATTAAGCAAATACTAACAGATCTTAAGGGAGAAAAAGACAGTAACAGAAGAGTAGGGGACTTCAATACCCCACTATCACCAATGGGAAGATTATCCTGACAGAAAATCAACAACATAAACACTGGAATTGAACCATACTTTAAAGCAAATAAACCTATCAGTCATACACAGAATAATTCATCAAACAGCAAAATACACATTGTTCTTAAGTGCACATGAACATTCTTCAGAACAGATCAGAGGATAGGACACCAAACAAATCTTAGGAAATTTAGATTGAAATCATACTATCTTTTCTGGCCACCATGGTATGAAACTAGAAATCAACAAGGGAGAAATGAAAAAATCTATAAATATGTGGAGCCTAAACAACACATTTCTAAACAACAAATAGATCAAAGAAGAAATCAAAAGGGAAAGAAGTAAAGTTTATAGTAATAAACACAGATGTTAAGAAATTAGATCTCAAATAACCTAACATTGTATCTCAAAAAGTAGAAATAACAGATTAAGCCTAAAGTTAGCAGAAGGAAGGAAATTAATAAAGACCAGAACAGAAATAAACGAGACCAGAGAAACAAGAAAAAAGAGTCAACTAAAAAAGAGCTGGTTCTCCTTTTTTTTAAGAGCTGGTTCTTTGAAAAGATAAAACTGACAAACTTTCAGCTACATTAAGAAAAAGAAAACTCAAAATTAGAAATGAAAGAGGAGACATTACAACTGATACTACAGAAATACATAGGATCATTACAAACATGAACAATTATGTGCAAAAAAACTATGTAACACAATACCCATCAAAATATCAAAGCCATTCTTCACAGAAATAGAACAATCCAAAATTTTCTGTGGAATCACAAATGGCCCCAAATATCCAAAGCAATCCCAAGAAAAAAGGCCACCACCAGAGGTACCCTTGAACAACATGGGTACAGATTCTTCATACAGTTTAAAATCCTAGTATAACTTTGACTCCAATACTTAGCTACTAATAGTCTACTGTTGACCAGAAGCCTTACCAGTAAGAGAGTAAAAAAACCCGTGTTTTGGGGGCACCTGGGTGGCTCAGTCAGTTAAGCATCTGCATTCCGCTCAGGTCATGATCCCAGGGTCCTGGGATCGAGTTCCACATCAGGCTCCCTGCTCAGCGGGAAGACTGCTTCTCCCTCTGTGCTGCTTCCACTGCTTGTGCTATTTCTCTAATAAATAAAATCTTAAAAAAAAAAAAAAAAACAACTCCACATTTTGTATATTATATACTGTATTTTTAAAGTAAGCTAGAAAGAAAGTGTTGAGATCATAAGGAAAATACATTTGCAATACTGTAAAAAATTCATGTGTAAGTGGTCCTACACAGTTCAAACTCATGTTGTTCAAGGGTCAGTTGTACACTAGCAAAGCCACAGTAATAAAAACAGTACGGTACTGGCACAAAAATAGAACAGGAGAGAGGCCAGAATGAAATCCTGGCCTATGTGGTCAACTAATACTCAACAAGGGAGCGAAGAACACCTGCTGGGGAGAGGACAGTCTTCAACAAGTGGTGCTGGGAAAACTGGAGAAATACATGCGGAGAATAATGGAAGTGGACCCCTACTTCACACCACTCACAAGAATTAACTCAAAATATATCAAAGACTTAAACAGAAGACCAATGCCATAAAATTCCTAAAGGAAACATAGGAGGAAGCTCCCTGATGTTGGTCTCCTCAATCATTTTTTAGACATGAATGCCAAAAGCACAAATAAGAAAAGTAAGAATTAACAAGTGGGACTACATCGAATTCAGAAGCTTATGTAACTTTCATATTTGAGAGCTGTTTTATAACTTTATATCTATGACTAGTGGTTGTGCAGGTGCACTTTTTCCTTTATGATCTGGGATACAAAACAGAGACCCGTGTGGTTGTGTCAAAGTTCTTTAGCCTCCTGTAACTTGTTGGCTTACTCTTCTAGTCTCACTTGCATATCTCGACTCTTAGGTACCAGTACCACTCAGCTAGCCACAACTCTCCCATGTCAACTGCAGAATCTGGCCTTTTCCCTTTTTATTTTATCCCGTTGACCTGGAACACTTCGCTTTTCTGGCTAATTCCAGTTCTCCAGAGTCTAGGCATCACTTCCTCCTCCAGGATGTTAGCCCCCTCCTCTGTGCCCTCACTGCACTGCGCTCGTGCTGTCACCACCACATTCACCACATAAATGCTGAAATAATTCAGATGTCTATCACCTACCTTGCAAGCATACCCTTCTTAGCCTGGTATCCATTTCGGCATCTCACACACAGAAGACACTTGTGTAAGAAGTGCACTGCACCAGTGCTCTCGCAACAAACTAGGTGGCTAACAGCAAACCCCTCCGTTGTAAACTCTCAGACGAGAATGAGGCAGTTTTGGTATCCTTGTTTTCAACTCTCACCTGACTGTATTAAAAGCTGAAGATGAGAGTTTGACTCTTATCTGAGGGATGGGGTGGGTTTTAGCACCATTAAACTTCTCCTAATTAGGACTTAGAGCCATTACCATGCCAAATGTCACACAGTTTAATGACCTGAAATTCAAACACAGCGATAGCAAAAGTTTAATAGTTGAAATGGTGGTCGAGACACAAGAAAATATTTTCCATGTCCCCAAGAGCAGTGATTCTTTGGGTCTGTGGACTCTCTGTTGTGACGTCAAGAGGATACAGAACTGCGCACGCAAGCAAAAGTTTACATACAATTTCAGAACATTCACAAACAGATCCAAATTCAAGGAAACTAAATGAAGAACTCTGTAAAAAAATTAATTCAAGTAAGAGGCCTAATAAGCTTAGTGCCCAGATGGGCACTATATTTCATGCTGATTATACCCAGATAAAATCCCGGAACTTCCATCTAGATCCCAGGGAAGGCATAAAAAATCTAACATGTGGTTAATGTGTCCTTTAGTAGTCTTCAGAGTATCTCATCACATGCCATGAGACAGTTGTCTTGTTGGGTTTAGCTTCTGTGTAAGCATGAGAACGGCAAATTATGTAATTA